CCAAGGCCCCCTTTTCTCTCACTTCTCAGGGAGCCAGAGCAGCCCCGCCTAGGTTCTCTCCTGTCGCTTCTTCTGTCCCAAGCCCTTCATTGTTTCACTGTCCCCAGCTTTAATAAATGTACTCTCGAGATAAAAACACAAGAACCCATAAATGCAGAAAATGACCAAAGTTGCTGACGGGAATCCAGGACATGAAAATTACAGAAAATTGTATGTGACTAACCTGTTTTCTAATTAGAAAGGAAGCCTGTAGGGGCAGAAAAATTATCAGCAGAGAGGGAGGAGGAGTGGTTGAGGCCACAGTCATTAGTCACCATCAGAAAAAAAGGAAGGTGGTTCAGCCAAAACCCAAGGGCAGAGTTCAGGGGGAGCCAAGCTCCACGGCCCCGGCAGTAGAGACCAGAGGAGGCAGGAAGCCGACAGGGGTCTGGAGTTAGACGAGGCCCAGGCCATGCTTGTTTCAGTGGTTCCCAAAGGCACAGGTGTCCTCCCTGTAGGATCTAGCAGTACAGGGCGCTCTGCTGGGCTACACTGGCACAACGGCTCCTAACACAGACATGTGCTCTGCACAGTACACTTATGTCTCCCTTACAAGTAAAAGATGCTGGATCTAAAAATGAAATTAAGAAAAAACTGCCATTTACAATAGCATCAAACAAAATTTATACTTAAAAATAAGTTAAAGTGTGTAATTTATACTCCAAAAACTATAAAACATTATTGGAAGAAATTAAAGAAGACACCCTGTGCTCATGGATCAGAAAACTCAATATTAAGATGACAGTTTTACCCAAGTTGATCTACAGATTCAAAGCAATCTCTATCAAAATCCCAGATTAACAAAATGATCTTAAAATTCATAGGAAAATACAAGGGACTCAGAATAGCCAAAACAATATAGCCAAAAGGACCAAAGTTGGAAGACTCACACTTGCTGTGATTTCAGAACCTACTATAAAGCTAAAGTAATTTAGCCCCGGCTGGTGTGGCTCAGTGGATTGAGTGCCGGCCTGCAAACCAAAGGGTCTCTGGTTCCTTTCCCAGTCAGGGCCCATGCCCAGGTTGCGGGCCATGTGCCCAGTAAGGCATGCGAGTGAGAGGCAACCACACGTTGATGTTTCTCTCTCTTTCTCCTTCACTTTCCCTCTCTCCAAAAAGGAAGAAAGTCTTTTTTTAAAAAAGCTAATGTAGCTAAGGGTGGTACTGGCATACGGCTAGACGTACAGATCAATGAAGTAAAATTGAGAGTCTACAAATAAACCTATATATTTATGGTCAGTTGATTTTCAACAAAGGTGCCAACGTCATTCCAGAGGAAGAAATAGTCTCTTCAGTAAATGGTGCTAGAACAACTGAATAACCACAAGCGGAAGAATAAAGTCAGGTCCCAGTGTCTCCCAGTTTCTCCCTCCCTCATCCCCTGTCACTGGTCTGCTGTCTCCATGGATTTCCCTTTTGTGAAAACTTTATACAAACAGAATCATACACTCTATGGCCTTCTGTGTTTAACTTCTTTTGCTTAGCGTGATGTTTTCAAGGTTTGTCCATATTGTAGTTTGTAGCAGTACTTCCATTACTTTTTGTGGCTGAATAATACTACATTATATGGATATACCTCATTTTGTTTATCCTTTTAGCAGTTGATGGGCATTTGGGTGTTCCACTTTTGGGCTGTTATGAGTAATTCTGTGAGCATTTGTGTACAAGTTTTTGTAAGAGGATCTGGTGTTAATATGATCTGGAAGAATCTCAGTAAACAACGGTTCCATACTACGTATTTAATTCTCCCAGAAAAAATAAAACCCACTCATCACCACTTACTCTGAAAGCCATTGTTGTCATTTCGGGTAACTGTATTCCCAACTTCTAACTGGTTCACAGGGCATTCTTTTACTGGGTTATCTCTGTGTTTTGGAAACTCATCGCTTGGGAAGATAACCCTTGAGAGTGCCTGCACACAGCCAGACTTAACCTTGGGGTTTGTGGGTCCTGCCAGGCCTTGTAAGTCATACTGAGTCCAATGGGAAGTCACTGAGGGGTTTAAAATGGAAGGGAGTGATGAGAACCTATTAGCGTTTCAGAACGATCTGTGTGCAACATGAGGAACGGATGAAGGAAGGAAATCGTGGAAGCCAGAGAGATCAAGTTGCAGTTGTTCAGGTGAGTGGTGCTGGGAGCAGAAAGGATGACAAAGAAGGGGTGGACTTGAGAGATAATAAGGACCTAGGATCAACCAGACTCGATGTTGAGTTGCCTGTAGGGTGAGGAATAGAGGAGGTTGCGGATGCTGGCTGGCTTTCTTGGTTGACGATGATGACATTCATTCCATGAGAGAATATAGGAAGGAATTGTTTGAAGGAAGGTTTATAATATTTATTGAATGCTGACTATATGTACCAGATACTTTACTACTAATTTAAAGCTGGACTTCATTTAGTCTTCGAAAGACCCTGGGAGCTGTATAGCATTAGACCTGTTTTACCCATGAAAAGAGTTGCATTTAGCTAAGAAGTGGTGAAGCCAGGATTTGAACCCAGTATCTCCAGTGACTTCACTGCATGTGCTCTTGCCGTCTCACGGTACCACTGCTGTTCAGAATAGGTCCTGTGGGTTTTGTGGGGCGTGTAGAACACCTGTGTGTATTCAGGAGTAGAATACATTGGTGTGAAGCTCTGGAAAGAAAGCCAGGCTCGTGCTGCAGATTTGAAAGTCACCAGTATACCAACTAAAGCCTTGGATCTGAGCAGTAGAGAGCATGTGGGATGAGAAAAGAGGGTGCCTCTGACAGAACCTCAAGAACCTCAGCATTGAAGGAGCCGGGGCAAGAACAGGGGAGCCCAAAAGTGGCACTCCAAAAGGACCAGAAAGGTAGGGGGATGTCATAGATGAGGAGGAAGCGATGAAAAGTATATACAGCTCTAGGGCTCACAGTTGGGAATGACATACTCAGTTAATCGTGATGCATTTACAACAAGAGTGCCATGTCTCCATGGAACTGACAAGTAGGTTGACTCTGAAATGTGAGGAGATAGATGTAGGTGAAGCAATGTTATGTGGATAAAAGTAGAACAGCAAAATCATACATTTGGATAAAACTTTTTTTAAAAGATTTTATTTATCTTTGGAGATAGGGGAAGAGAGGGAGAAAGACAGGGAAAGAAACATCAATGTGTGGTTGCCTGTCTCATGCCCCTCCACCTGGGGACCTGGCCTGCAACCCAGGCATGTGCCCTGACTGGGAATCAAACCAGTGATCCTTTGGTCCGCAGGCTGGAACTCAGTGAGTTGGGCATCACCAACTGGAAGATCACCAATTCGATTCCCAGTCGGAGCACATGCCTAGGTTAGCGGCCAGGTCCCCATTGGGGGCGTGTGAGAGGCAACCCATCAGTGTTTCTCTCATATCAATGTTTCTCTCCCTCTCTCTCCCTCCCTTGCCCTCTCTCTAAAAATAAATAAATCTTTAAAAAAAAATTGGACTTGCAGTGACCAAGATCAGAAATAGTCAGATTTTTAAAAGATAATTGGTGGAGTAAAGGATTGTAAAGTGTTAATAAAATTATTATTTAAAATGGTACAACCCCTGTGGAAAACAGTATGGTGGTTCCTCAAAAAGTTAAAAGCTGATTTACCATATGATCCAGCAGTTCCACTTCTGGGTTAAGATGGTAAGTGTTCTGTGTATTTTACCACACACAGAAATAATAATAATACAGACAATGAAAGCAATGGTGACCCAGCCTCACCCCGCGGTTTGATTCAGTGGGTCTGGGCTCGCCGGTGGCCCTAGCACACAGCCAGAGCGGGGACCCCTGGTTCAGCTGGCGGAGAAGCCTGGTTCCCTGGGCACACCCGAAGTTCGTCTTGGTGTCTGAGGAGAGTTTTCTTCGGCTTAATTCTCTATTTCACTGCATAACCCTTGTGATCAGGAAAAATAGGTAAACATATCCATTGTAGAAAACTTGGCAATGTTCAAAAACTAGAAACATCCCGAGTCCCATCGGCTTGAGTGATCATGAACTTCAGGTGTATTCTGGTCCTTCTGTTGTTAGGTTTGTAATATATTTATAGACATGTTATTAATGTCCTTGTGTATTCTCATGTCAATGTATGTTTTGCATATATGTCGCCTATACTTTTTTAAAAAATTGATCACACCTCACATATTGTTTTGTTTTTCCCATTTTTTCCCATTTTCACCATCATTTTCTGAGTTTATTTTTTATTATGTTTTTTTCCATCACCATTTATCCGCCTTATACCCCCTTCTGCCTCCACCACCCACCTCCCCACTGTTTTCTCACTTTTAACAAGCATGTGGTGATGTCTTCCAGGTCACCCAGGGCCACCTTTTCTGCGGCATGGTTTCCAGCGGCACCGTAGTGTTACCTATCAGACCCATCACTGTTACCAAACATCTAGATCGTTTCCCAGTTTTCACTACCATATTCCATGTTGGTGTAAATAACTATATAAAAATACATAAAACCACTATTTCATAGTGGTTCACTGTTGCTTTTGTTGTGGCCAGTTAGGTAGTTGAAAAAAATTTTTATCTTTTGTTTCTAGTGAACATTTTCCTATTCTTGCTAACATACATTTTTAAATTATAATCTGTATAACACCTAGGTAGTTCTCTTCAGTCTTTAACTGGTTTTTGTTTTCCTGCTCTTTTTGTTTTTTTTGTAATCCAATGTAGAATCATGAACTTTTACCCTTAAGTCCCCGAAAGTAGGATGTGTCGAGTGGAGTCACACAGAAAATGGAGCGACAGAACGGGGATTTCTTTGAACCCAGCTTTACTCGTTGTTTTCATTTTCCAGGAGACGGATATTGCTAATATCCGCAGGTCTCTCTGGGAGAAGGTTCTGCAGCTTTTCGTCTCACAGCAGGGTTTCATTTGTGCTTTGGGGCAGAGAACTTGTGGCTTCCGCACAAGCCAGAAAACGTCACCCGCGTGTGCCCTCTGCTAACAGCCAGTGTACTGCTTGCTGTTCCAGGAGCCATGTTTGACCAGGACTGTGGGACGGTCATGTTCACGTTGGAGGCTCCGGTGAGGAGATGAGCTGGTGAACAGAGAAGCCGGCATGAAGATGCTCCCGGGAGTGGGCGTGTTTGGGACTGGCAGCTCCGCCCGGGTTCTGGTGCCACTGCTGAGGGCAGAAGGGTTCACCGTGGAGGCCCTGTGGGGGAAGACGGAGGAAGAGGCGAAACAGCTTGCCGAGGAGATGAACATCGCCTTCTACACCAGCCGGACCGATGACGTCTTGCTGCATCAGGACGTGGACCTGGTGTGCATCAACATCCCCCCTCCGCTCACCCGGCAGATATCTGTGAAGGCTCTAGGTACGGACGGTCAGGCCGTAGCATGGGCAGCCTGTGCCTCTCTCTGGGCTGTCCTTCTTGGCCTTGAGCCTGCAGGTGCTGGCACTCTGCGGCAGTGCTGGGCAGCGCACGCCGGGCAGTCCTGCCGCTGTGGGGGCAAATGCTATAGTGGCTGGGGAAGACCACCTTCCCCTCCCCCCATAAGTAAATCTCAAGCAAAGAGTAAGCAGATGCTTTAAGAGTTGGCCTGTCACGGGGACTAGGGTTTATTACACTTTAGGCAATGTAAAAAGTTTGCCTCTCTGAAGTCAGAGTTCAAAGACCCGGACACTGGGAAATCGGTTGTGATCGACAGATCTGTTCTTCCATTTCTGTGGCATGCATCAGCACAGAAAGGGGAGGGGGGTGTAGCAAGGGTGCCATTTCCCTTGTTTTGTCAGGCCCTGACTCGCTTGAGCACACACCCTGCGTGCCAGAGGGCAGGAAGGCTCTCCGTCAGCACCGGGCTTCCCTGGCAGGCTCCCCCGACAGGACCCACGGGACAGCCCACTCACGGCTGGGCTGCCTCGGGGAGCGGTTGCCCGGGCAGCCTCCTGCCCCTGGCTGGGCGTAGCTCACTAAGCCGGTTTCCTGCAGTTCCTGTTAGGCTTCTCTTTCCTGTCACTTGTAGAAAAATTCTTCTCTTTGCTTTACATAAACCAGAAGCTAATTTAATAGGAAAACGGATCAGTGAACACTCACCCGGCCGTTTTGTTTCAGTGCCTCGTGTGTTCCAGGCCCTGCCCCGATGTCGTTCTGGACACTCAGGGCAGCGTTGCACCGGAGAGCTCTCCTCGCCTTCCAGTTCCACAGTGGAATCGAAGAGCCTAGAAATAACACATTACAAAGTAAACGAGAAAAGACTTAAGTAACAGTTCAGGTAGCATGTAATTAATTGACAAAACAATTGGGTGTTTAAGTCGATAGGAGCCATGTGTCTTTCAAATGCAGCTGGAGGCCCCTGAGTCCAAGCTGACCACCAGGCCTCCTGGCCACCACCAAGGCTCTACTCTTTGTTTCTTTCTTGTTCTTTTTTCTTTTTTAAGATTTTATTTATTTATTTTTAGAGAAAAGAAGGGAGAAAGAGACAGAAAGAAACATCATTGTGCGTCTGCCTCTCACACACCCTCCCACTGGGGACCTGGCCCGCAACCCAGGCCTGTGCCCTGGCTAGGAATCGAACTGGCGACCCTTGGGTTCTCAGGCCAGCACTCAATCCACTGAGCCACACCATCCAGGGCTCTTTCTTGTTCTGAAGATAAGAGAGTGTCTTGTCACTTTCGGCCCAATGGGTGGGGAAGGATAAATGTTCATAGAAGTGAGCAAGAACATGAGTCTCTGGTTGTTCATTCGGGTCATGTAAGGTTTGACCAAAAATTATAGGTGGCTAGTTTTTGAGCGTTCTTCTCCAGAGAGCTCTCTCTTTCTCTCTGGGGATGTGTGACGCCAGAGCTGTTCATTGGCTCTGGATTCTTAGGAGGGCAAATAGTGGCTCCCAGATTGAGTTCCGAAGTAGGCCTAGGTCAACACTTTAACAGAGGGCTGGCTCAAGAGGAATCAAGCTACCACGGTCACCTGACATTTGGCCATTTCTTGTCAGTGAGATCAGGTATGTCCAGAGGCTTTCAGTCTTCTTGAATTTTAGGGTCCCCACAGAAACCATTTCCAGGCTGTATAGGAAGAAGGGGAAACCCAGGTTCTTTGGCCACAAGCCCGCTGTGTTCAGGTTCCTGGTATGGGAATGTGCTGGACTTTGGGCCATGTACTATACACAGGAAGTACAGCCCTAGCTGGGTTCCTCCGTCGGTTACAGCGTCGTCCCAGTACACCAAAGTTGCAGGTTCCATCCTTGGTCAGGGCACACACGAGAACCGACCAGTGAATGCATACCTAAGTGGAACAGCAGATCGATGTTTCTCTCTATTTATCCATCCCTTCCTCCCTCTCTCTCTAAACCAATGAATAAAGAAATTAAACAGGAAGTACAGGGATGTCAGAAACTTCTGGGGTCTTGTATCCCAGCCCTTGATGGGGCAAGGCCTTCAACCTTCCCTCCACAGTCTGTTGTCAGGAGGAGGAGGGCGAGGATGGGCGTCCTTGGTGGCATGTGGTCCCAGGGGATGCTGGGCCTGGGAGAGCTCGTGTCAGCTTGACCTGCCCTCAGGCACTGCCCCTCCGTCCCCAGAGGAGTCACTGAGACTGTGTGACCATGAAATTCACTCCCTGAGTGCTTTCACTTTTTTTAGTGAGAATTCTGACTTGACTTTAGCACATATGGGAGAAGCCAGAACTCCTGGTTTTCCCAGAGGGCTGGGTGTGAGTGTACAAACTGCTCCACACAGAACACCAAACTGACTTGACGTCAGACCCCATTTCTGGCCTTGTTTCTGCCCCTCTCAACCTCCGTGGGCCCCTGTGAAATGGGGGTGAGCAGGGGTGTCACTCAGCCTTTCCAGCGTTGCACATGACTGCCTCCAAGTGCTGACCAAGACAGACACCCAGGAAAGCCTCACGTTACGAGGGAAGCCAGCCTTTCCCATACAGCATATGTAAGTCTTTAGAGTCAATGACCCTGGAGCCCCTTGCTGCCCTTCCACCCTGCTGTGGATTCCCATGCGTGACTTAGATGTGCATGAGAGTATATTTTTCTATGTTTTTCCTACCTAGGTCTCTCTTTTTATTTTTTTCCTGTCATTGGGGGCTGTGTCTAAGCTTTAGACATTATATACTCAATCTTTTTTATTATTTTTTTTATTTATTCATTTTTAGAGAGAAGGGGAGAAATATCAATGTGTAGTTGCCTCTTGCACACCCCGTATGGGGGACCTGGCCCACAACCCAGGCATGTGCCCTGACTGCGAATGGAACTGGCAACCCTTTTGGTCCCACCCCGAACTCAGTCCATGGAGCTACACCAGCCAGGGCTTATTTTTTCATTGCTTTTAGAGAGGCGGGGAAGCACCCTAACCTGTGTGTCTCAGTTGGGCAACCCTCTGTAAAGTGAAAGGTCTCTGATTCAATTCCCAGTCAGGGCACATGCCTGGGTTGTGGGCCCGGTCCCCAGGTGGGGTGCCTGTGAGAGGCAACCTACCGATGTTTCTCTCTCACATCTATGTTTCTCCTCTTCTCCTTCTCCCTACCTTCCCTTCTCTCTAAAAATAAATAAATAGAATCTTTTAAAAAATCCTGCTTCCTTTAAAAAAAATAGAGAAAAAGGGAAACATTGCTATAACAGAAACATTGGTTGCCCCTTCCCTCCCCAATAGACTCCCCGACTGGGGGTTGAACCCCCAACTTAGGCGTGTGCCCCGAGGAGTCAAACCCACAGTGTTTCAGTGTACGGGAACGACACTCCAGCCAAGCCACACCAACCATGGCTAGATTCTCAGTATTTTTAGAGCTAAAAAAAAACCCCATAATTATTTAGCTCTATAGCTTTTGAGAAGTACTCTAATTTTCGATTAGCTCTTCCAGACCTTGAGCCCATGAGAAGTTTATCCAGTCACCTAAAGCCTCTATGTAGTTGCGGGTCCTCTGGTACCATGCTGTGCTAACCATCACAAAAGGGAAGTTTGGAGACCGCGAAGCATGTGGGGCGTGCGGCACCGACAGAGATTTGCACCTGTGAGGACGTGTCATTTAGGAGACTGATTCTGCTGAAACTTTCCATAGCACTTGCGGTACTGTGTTTCTTCTTCTAGAATTCACACTCATGCGGGGCTGTGGAGAGAGTCTCTAGTCCAGCGGCTCTCAGAATGTGGCCCCTGAGCCAACAGCATCAGTGTGACCGGGGGACGTGGTACAAATTCAGAGTCTCAGGCCCATTTCTAGACCTTCTCAATCTGGGGTCAGGCCTCACAGTTGGTCTGAACGGTCCCTCCGGGTGATCCTGGTGCACACCGGGGACTGGGGGCCACCGACCCAAACCCGGTGCCTTCGTTTGCAGTTACCGAAGCCGAGGCTCAGGAATAGTAAGTTTACTTCTCGTTAAGTCTTAATGCTGTGGGCAAAATTGCATTTTCCTCAGTTCATTAGATCATTACATTTTACCTGACTTCTGAGGCTATAAGGATTGTTTCTTGCCCTCATTCTCATTAGTTTTTCCTAAAATGAACTCGCGGGCTTATCCTTCAGAGGTGCTCTTTTCATTTCACAACTCTTTCTGTGGCATCTTATTTTCTGCTTTTGTTTGACCTTTGTTTCTTTCTCTTTTTCAAAAAATTTCTTCCACTTCCAATTTTATCTTTAAGTCTTTCCCATAAATTCCTTAAAGGAGAGGGAGGGAGCCTAATACGTTTTATTTCTCAGCTCAGAAAAATACAGTTTAACGTTCCAAGTGCCCTAACATCTTTGTCACAGCTGAATGTTTTCTGAACTCAGTCGCTAAAAGGTGAGTTTCTGTCCCCAGTTCTTGGCACTTACGCGCTTCATTAGAAAAACACCAAGTTTGCCAGCTCTTTCCCCATGGGCTGTTGAGATAACGAGATCGTCCCTCAAGCAGCCTGACCTAGATAATTCAATCCCAAGAACACCAGTCCCTTGAGATGCCTTCCCTGACCCCCAGTCCAGGCCAGGTTCCTGCTGTCTGCTTTCATAGTGTTATTTATAGCCTATCCCTGGCATTTATCACAGGTGAAGTTCTGTGTGTATTTATATTATAATTTAATCACTGGCTGGCTGTCCCACTCAATGTGAAGTTTTCTGAAGGTAGAGATCATGCCCGATGTCGTGTCCCCAGCGTTTGACACAGGGCCCAGCACACTGGATGAATGAAGACGTTCACAAGTTCTGCCCCTGCAAGCCCGGTCGGCTGATGTGACCCAGGGAGCCAGCAGGGGCCTGAGACCCGGGAAAGGGTGGAGAGGAGGCCGTGAATGAGAGTGAATCATTCTGGCGTTTTCAAACTTATTTTCTAGTAGCAGAACCTTTACTGTTTTAAAAAATATATATATTTATTCCCTGCTTTTTTTCTGGGTGGCTTCTCTACCCTGCTATTTGAAATCATTTACCTAGTCCCACTCCTGTAAATAGGGCAACACAGGTGTTGTGGTCCCAGAGCTGTGAAGCTGTGGTGTGTTACCGGGGAACGAGATGGTGGTCGAGTCAGCTTCTCTGGGCCTTTGGTGCTCAAGGGCACGTCACCCCTGAGTAGTCCGGGGAGTGTGTGCTGGAAAGAGGCCTGTAGCCTGAAACCGTTCACCCCACGGAAGATCCGAGCTAAGAAGCACTCAGCACCCGTGCGTTCCCTGTTCCCTGGAGACAGAAGGCAGTTCTCAGCTCCGCTGATCTCTCCTCTGACTTCCTGGCAGGACAGCTAGATAAACTTAAGTCTTCCGAGGCAATCCCAGTCTTCCTACAGGTAAAGACCCCATATAGCTGGCCTGCATTTAACTCAAAATGGCCTTTAGCTCCCACACGGATAGTACTGCTGGGTCCTGAGTTCAAAATCTCCTGTTGTTCAGGCTCAGGAAGGGAGGTGTCTCCCCCTTTCCTGCCCTCTTCTGGCGTGAAACAGAGATTACTCGTCCTAGTTTTTCCGCCTCCAAACTCTCAGCAGCCACAAAAGTCCTCTTCCTCCCAGCCCACCCGTTCTCCCCACACTGCAGTGCTCACCCAGCTGCCAGAGTGAGTGGTCACAGCAGGAAGCCTCTGGTTTGGCCAGATCTACAGCCCACAGGTGGGGTGTTTGTGTCTGAGGACCTGATCCCCTCATTACTTTCCTGGTTCACCGTACGTGCTGTACCGCCCAGTGGCCAAACCCTCACCCTGTGCTGTGACTCCCCAGTCCTCACCCTGAAGTCCCACCAGTGTGAAGAAGCACTGGAGACCTCCCAGAGCGGACAGTGATAGCAGCCGGGTGACATTCCCTGCAGGGCCCCTCCTGCCAGACCCCAGTGTGAGAACTCTCCTCTCGCCTTGGCCCCCTGCCCGGGGCGTGTGACACTTGTCTAGCCAGTCTCCTGTTGTCCTGCCAGCACCTGTTATAAAGCTTTTGTTACTATCTAGAGAAGAGCGAGAGATTTAAGAGTTTTGTCGAGGGAAGAGACTGAATTATGTCACAGGCTACTCATCTCCGTGTTTCCTCCTTGCTACAGCACTGGGGTTCACAACGCTGGGAGTTCCTGCCTAAGAACCCCGTAAGTGCACATGGCAGTGCTCTGTGGGGTTCTTGAGGGTCGGGGGTAGCAGGGAGGTGGGGCAGGAAGTGAGGAGAGCTTGGAGGGAGAGGCCAGAGGCAACAGATTTCCTCCCGTGGGCTTTGTTAGGGTGTGAGCCTCCAGAGGGCTATCTGATGAACAGCACATATAATATGGAAACTCATCTGTGTTCACTTTGATTTTAAAACCTCTTTTTTAAAAAATAAAACTTCCAAAATACTGAACACCAAAATTATTGGCCTGGAAAATGTAGCTCCCATGTGAGTCTTAAATTTTACGTCACTGTGGGCCCTTCTGCATTTAGGACATCTGCTGGGTCTCCTCTCCCATGGTGATGGCCGCAGAATACACCATTGACAGCTGTGCTGGGGCAGGCATGTCACACTTACTGTCTCATTTGATGTCTTCTCCTCTGCTCTTCAAGGTGGATATGCCTCTCATTTTACAGTGCAGGGTAGTAAACTGAGGCCCCGAGAGGTTCAGAAATTTTTCAGGCTATTTAGCAGTGAAGCAAAAGAACCAGCATTTGAACAGAAATGACTGGCCCCAAAGCTTGAGTCCAGCACCAATGAATGGCCTTTCCGAGGTGGTCAGCTGTCTGTGTGGGACAGCAGTCATCTGTATAAAGTTCTCTTATTTTTTTATTGCAGGTTGTATGGCCTGTAGTTGCCGTTGTTTCTAGCAAAGTGGCCAGCCACTTCCCCCTCCTGAGCCTGTTGGAATGGAGTCAGGGGAAGCTGCACCCTGCACTGGGCCACCAGAAATATCTGGGTTCCAGTCATTACCCCACCTGAAGGCACTTGGGAAGTTTTCAGGGGACCAAGGGAATGCACACCAGGGTTGTTGGGGATGCACATACCCAAAGAAGGCACGGTCTTAACCTGGCTGCTTTGCAATGCAGGCTTCCATGCTGGGCACCTGCCCCTCCATCCAGGAAATGCCTGTGCAGTGTGAGGGTGGAGCTTGCAGGGCCTTGAGGGTAGAAACCTGAATGTGCACGTTGTTCAAGATGGTCTTCAACAAGGAGACTAAGCACACGTGGTAGTCTAGCCCAAGATGCTGGGAGCCGACCAGTCGATAGGCCTGGCCCTGCCTGTCTGTTGTTTAGCGATCATCGCCTCTCCGCACCCGCCAGGCCTTTGTGCGCTGCATCCCCCGTCTCGCATTCAGTGGCTAGAGCAGTATGAGCAGGGGAGGGACCACAGTAGGCAGAGAGATCAAAAAGTAAATTTTGGAGGGGTGGAGAGGCCATATGCGGCCTTGTGCATAGGCCACTATAAGGACTTTGGCTGATTCAGAGGGGTTCGTGCAAAGCAGGGGCACGATCTGATCCATCTTAAGGTTGTGTGTGTGTGTGTGTGTGTGTGTGTTTAAAAATTGATCTGCTAGGACCTTTATTTTAATGAAAAAATGTCTTTTATTTTATGGAAAAAAATCATACAGACTTTTGGCTAACCCAATGTATTTGCTTTGTATTCAACTAACCTTACTAAATTTCTTCATTAATTTTAATAACTTTTTTCTTAGACTTTCTTTTTTTTTAATTTTCTCTTTTCAAGTACAGTTTTCTGTCCTTTACTCCCATCCCAGCCCACCCACCCATCCCTCCCCACCCCCCTCCCCTTTCTATCTCCCACCCTAGTTTTTGTCCATGTGTCCTTTATACCATCTTAAGTTTTAAGAGTATTGCCCAGGCTGCTTTGTTGAGAAAAAATAGAGGGGGGCCATTGAAACAACCCAGGCAGAAACAGGGGTGCCTGAGTGAGGAAGGTGGCAGTGGGGCGGTGCGAACTGGTCAGATTCCGCACGCAGCGTGAAGGCTGAGCGGGCAGGATGTGCTGATGGTAGGAAGTGGGATGTGAGAGATGCTGCTGGTGGATTTGGCTTGAGAAACTGGGTGAATGGAGTTGTCACTGAGCTAGGGAGGACCTGGGGAGGGGAGTATCAAGAGCTCAGTTTTGGATTCTACCCCAAACTTGCCACTTCTTCACCTTGAATGTCTGCCAACTATCTAATATCCCACGTCACTTGTAGCCCCTGTGTAACCCCTCCAGCTCATTTTCTGGAGTGCACGCAGGACCTTTATAGGAACCTCCGCTCTTCAGCCTTTCCTACCTCAGTGCCTTTGCACATGCAGTTCCCTGTGTCTGATGGCCTTTCCCCCTTGTGCTCCCTGGAACATCACTCCCCTGTGAAGGCCTCTCTGGTCCTGCCATCTGTACCTGTGTGTGTGTCTAGTCCATACCACTTCTTGGGCTTTGTAAGCTTTTTTTTATTGGAGGGTATTAGCATAGGACTACTTTCTAATTGAACCACCCCAAGCTCACAGGAGTGCCTCAGGTGTTGGTGGCTTATGGCTGCTCATACCCTCATAAACTTTCTTTTTGAAACATGGAGGAATGTTGATCTTCTCCATTCCCTCATATGGAAGTAAGCTGCTCAGTCCTCAGACTCTCTCATCGGGTTTTGTCTAGCTTTGTTTTACTCCGTGCCTTCCAGCTGCAGTGGACTCAGAATGGGTGTGAGGGCAGAAAGGATGTTTTCACTCCCTTTCCCCGCCCATTGGGGCCAGGTACGTTCTGGCCTTGTGACTGCACTAACTTACCGATCCAAGGTGTCCAAAGAACAGTCTAGTCTGCAGGGAGCCCGAGAGCCCTTTCTGCAGGTGTGCCTGAGGGTGCCGTGTCCATCCTCCAGAACATAGATTCCCTTGGCCCAAGCTGGTGACCTAATAAATGCATAGCGGCACACGGGCATGTCTGAGAAGCATGTCTGCCTCTCCAGACCACTTGTGTCAGGCAGTGTTCTCCAAAGAGGTAGAACCAGTAGGATGGATGTAGAGAGACTTATTTTAAGAAATGGGCTCATGTGATTGTAGGAGGTGACAAATCTGAAACCCACAGGGCAGAACAACGGTATTACAATTCCAGTGAGAGTAGATGTTGCAGACTCGAGTCTGACGGCAGTCTGGAGGCAGAATTCCTTCGTCTTCAGGGAGCGTTCTTGAGTCCTTCCACCGATTGGGTGAGACCCACCCACACCACAGAGGGTAATCTACTCTAGTCAAAGTCTGCTGGTTTGAATGTCAGTCACATCTAAAAAAACTCCTTCCCAGCAGTGTCTAGAGGTATGTGATGGACACCATAGCCTAGCCAGGTAGACACATAAAGTTATCATCATACCACCTCTAGTCTCCACTCCTGGGCTGTGCTTTCTGCCTCTGCTCCTTTCACTTTCCCGCAAGAACTTACTCTTCTTTTTCCAGCCTGTACCTCTACAGCCCCAGTCTCCAGGTACCATTGTTATCCAAGCTGGAGCCACCTTTCCTCTTGTCCCAGGCCACCATCCGGTCTCACAGGAGGCTTTCCTGCGTCTGTCTGCCTTCCAGAGACACAGTGTGTTTTCCCAGTGTAAAGGCCTTGGGACTTTGACATTTCCTGTTGTGTTTTATCCTCAGGTATCGGGAAGAATGTGGTTTGTGAGAAGGCAGCAACCTCGGTGGACGCCTTCCGGATGGTGACAGCCTCGCGCTACTACCCACAGCTGATGAGCTTGGTGGGGAACGTGCTGCGCTTCCTGCCTGCCTTCGTGCGCATGAAGCAGCTGATCGCCGAGCACTACGTGGGTGCGGTGATGATCTGCGACGCCCGCATCTACTCAGGCAGCCTGCTCAGCCCCAACTACGGCTGGATCTGTGACGAGCTCATGGGCGGCGGGGGCCTGCACACCATGGGCACCTACATCGTCGACCTGCTGACCCACCTGACTGGCCGGAGGGCCGAGAAGGTCCATGGGCTCCTCAAGACCTTTGTGAGGCAGAATGCAGCCATCCGTGGCATCCGGCACGTCACCAGCGATGACTTCTGCTTCTTCCAGATGCTCATGGGCGGGGGGGTGTGCAGCACGGTAACGCTCAACTTCAACATGCCGGGTGCTTTTGTGCACGAGGTCATGGTAGTAGGCTCTGCCGGCCGCCTTGTTGCCCGGGGAGCGGACCTCTATGGGCAGAAGAACTCTGCCCCCCAGGAGGAGCTGCTCCTGAGGGACTCATTGGCTGTGGACACAGGGCTGCCTGAGCAAGGGCCCCGGGATGTCCCGCTGCTCTACCTGAAGGGCATGGTCTACATGGTGCAGGCCCTGCGCCAGTCCTTCCAGGGGCAGGGGGACCGCCGCACATGGGACCACACACCCGTCTCCATGGCCGCCTCATTCGAGGATGGGTTGTATATGCAGAGCGTGGTGGACGCCATCAAAAGGTCTAGCCGATCCGGGGAGTGGGAAGCTGTGGAGGTGCTGACGGAGGAACCCGATGCCAACCAGAACCTGTGCGAGGCGCTCCAGCGGAATAACCTGTGAGCCTGCACGTGGGCTCCCTGCCGTGGGGCGGAGCGGCCAGGGAGGGGCCAGGAGCAAGGTGGGAGGTCTTGGCTAGAGCGTAGACAGTGTCTCTTATTTAACAAGTCAGCTTGGGCAGGGTCCAGGTGGAGCCCAAGGTGGCCCGGGGAAAATGCCCCCTCCAGCACGCACTCCCTCCTCAGGCCTGCAGGGCAGTGACGTTCCCGTGGCCGCGGCCGAGTGGCCCAGCACGAGGAGTGAGAGGCAGAGCTGCCACCAGGTCTCTGTGTCGTTAATACCAGTGAGCAGGGCCAGCAGAAGCTTGACTAGGGGCCTCTTCAGCCTGTCGTGGTCCTGACTGGATGAGAAAGCACAGTGAGGAGCCGGTTTGGCTGATTGCTCAGGCCTGGGGAGAAACGGCGAGAAGCCGTGTCCACACCCCGCGTGGGCCCAGGGCATCTCAGGAGCGGGGAGGATGACCAGTCACCGAGCCTCAAGGAGCTGCACCTGCCCTCCCTCCCATGCGACCAGGCCCTTCCGGCCTCTGGGCTTCCCCTTCTCCAGCAGGGAGGATGGGTTCTCCAGTAGGAGGGTCTCGGGGGGCTGTTGACTAGAGCAGAGGGCCCCCAATTTGCCAGAGCGGAGACAAGGGACCGCTCTGGAACATCTGATAAATGTTAATAAATAAATCAAACTTGGGCACGGTGGCACGTGGTTGTTGGCTCTTTGGTACGTTAGGTTTCTTTAATAACGAAAGGCTTGTTGATCACTGTAGATGGTTAATGTGTTCCCCTTTCCTGGTGGCTCCACAGCAGCTCCGACCCCGGATCCATCACCAGTGGGCCACACAGGCTCCCGCCACCACCCACCCTCAGCGTCCAGCTTCCTCCCTCGGCACCAGACCCCAGGAGCCCTCCAAAGAAAAGTCATTCCTCGAAAAACAGGACTCAGGCCTCCTGATGGGGGCCCATCAGACCTGCTGGTCCAGGGAGAGAGGGGGAGAGTTTGGAGCCTCTCTGGGCTGCAAGCCAGGAGGGGTTCTGTTCTCAGAACTGTGCAGCTGGCTCCAGGGGAGCCCTGGGAGAGGGAAGGTGAGGGGTGGCCCCAAGGAGGCTGGACAGGGTGAACTTGAGGGGGAAGGCCCCACACACTTCCCCTTGGGGTGGGTATGGCCAAACACGGACTGGCCCAGCCAGCCAGTCCTCAGCCATGCATTTAGCCTTTTAGCCCCTCGGTCAGAGGGGGGAGGGGGAGGGTGGCGGGCAAGGACGTGTTCCAACCCTTTGTTCCACTGCCAGCCTGCCAGGATTGAGCCCCAACCAAACTTCTCCCTTCTCTGCCCTGCCCTCTGCCCTGCCCTCTCTGCCCTGCCCTGTGCGCCTTGCCAGGAAGACAAAGACTCGTGGAGGGCTCCCTCTGCCTCTTGGCACCCCTTATGAACGTCACCAGGCCAGTGTTCCCACACTATCCTGGTTTCATGCTTTGCCTTCGTGAGGTAACATAACAATGACTGGTGTTAGAGCGAGCTTTTTGCCCGCTGGGCCCCCTGGAGTAGACGTTTTATGTGTATCATGTGTATTATGTAATATCCAAACCACTCTGTGAGGTACTAGTATTAACACTGCCCTGTTCAGATCGGAAAACTGAGGCAGAGAGGAACCAAGTTACTTCCCTCCTGTAGGTCGTAAGTGACGCAGTCCGGAGCCTGGTCAGGGTCATTTGACTGCGGAGCCTGACCCTGAACTACTCTCTCCCCAGCACTTGTGGCTCCGCAGACTCCAAGTGCGCAGACACTGCCCCTCCTCGCTTGGTTCCCCATCCAGGTCAGTGCGTCCTCCCTGCAGCAAGAATCTCAGCCTGGCCTGAACCGGGAGGCAGACGGCAAAGAAAGCCCCACTGGTCAGGATGCTGGTAGAGTTCAGGAAGCTGCCCGCTGCCTCCTCTGGCCCATCAGCTCGGCTCCAGGTCAGTCCCTCTGTGTGTTACTAGGATGTCGAGACCCGTCCTCGATGTGGGGATTGACTGAGAAAGCGCTTGCGTGTGTTCCGCCCGATTCAGGCTGACTCACAGTGGCACCGCTTAGGTTTGTAGAGCTCTGCAACAAACCCCCTCATGTGCAGACATGTATTCCCAGAAGTCCTGGGGCAGACTACAGTGGACTTAGCACAGAGCTACTTTCATGAGGACCCCAAGGGTAACTAAGGTCCCCTGCCGGCACTCCCCACAGTCCAGGCCCTCGGACATCTTTACTGTCCTGTATCTCTTGGGTTGGTACCGGGGAAGAGATGTGCCCCGAAGTGGCCCACATGCCTGCGGCCAAGGAAGCCTATCCTCAGTCCCCAGGGGTAACTGAGCCTGCAACTGTTCCAGGCTTGTCCTGCACTGCCCCCTCCTGGAGAAAGGCAGCATCACCTCCCAGGACCTGTGTCCCAAACCTCAGGATCTTCTCTGGGTCAAAGTAAATCAAGTTTTTCCAACCAGTGAAAGTGCAGTCAACTTCCTCTCTGTTACAGCAACTAGAAGTCAACTTCCAAAACACCTGTTGCTTATTTTCCAATCCCAGCCAAATCCAGGCCTCTTACCCAGACAGAAACAGCAGTCTCCTCACCTTAGTGTCTGCGGTCTCCCCATTTCTCATTCTGACCTCCACACTGCTGCCCAGGTGAGCCCTGCACAGTGCCAGGCCAGATCCCTCCCTGACTGCACTCCTCACCACTTCCAGGTTCGCCCAGCCCGATGGCCTGATGGCTGTGCCTCTGCTCCAGCCATGCCAAGTGGCCCTCCTGCCTGGGGCTGGCATCTTCCACACGAGCAAGGCTTTGTCCCTGGCACATCACCCAGCTCACCAGGAGTCAGCTGGAGGGCTGCTTCGTCACACTGTCCTGAGCATAGTAACAGTCCCCTGCCGCCTATGGTCCCGCAGACTGGGTCCTCCGCCCTTCGTAGCATGTCTCTCCGCACCGTGCTGCTTCTGCATTTCCCCCTTAGACTGATCTCCTAGGGGTGGTGTGGCTTGTTCCTTTCTGTGGCTGCTGTCACCCACCCTGCTTAGACAAGCTTGTCAGCTAATGGGCCTCAGGATACATAGATGGTTTTTTTTTCTTCTGTGGCTGCTGTTTCCTACATTACCTGTTGGAAGATGGGAACAGAGCTCCCTTGTCAGTGCCGGCCTGGTCCTCACCTCCAGCCCTGGAAACCACACAGAGAAAGCACATGCTTGGCCCTCTGGGGTCAGGCCTTAGCCCGAGAGCTGCAGGATCCTCGGATCCGCAGGGCTCAGGAAAGGGTGGGGCCTCCTGCAAGGCCATTTCTGTCCACGCTGCTGCCTCCTCAGCCATAAAGTGAGGAGGTCAGACTCAGTTATCTTGAAGGGCCCTCTACCTCTGAAAAGTCCTGGAGAATCCGTGCTCACCCCTGTGGGTATAATTCAGTCAGTGTGGTCCCTGTGGGCAGTATGTCCTGGGGTGGTCAGATTACCAGCCAGGGAAAAGCATGGGGAGAAGGAATAAGCGTCCTGACCCCGTGGCTGGTCATCCTGTGGCCATGGGGCCAGTGAGCCTCCAAGCGATCCCCACAGGAGGGAGCAGCCTCACGTGATGCCCGACTTCTTTCTGCTTCCATCCGGGCCTGCCCACCCCATGCCCTTCAGTGACCTTGCCGGGCCCTCCCTCCAGGGGTCCCACACACAGCTGCGTGGTCTTTGGACAGCTTCAGCTTTTCAGATCCTGACTTGCCCCTCTGTAGCTTCCTCAGCTCCTCATCCTGGTCTCCTCATCCAGGTGCCTTCCCTGGGGGCCCTCTGCTGGGTGGTGGTGATGTGGTGACCAAGGTCCCTGGGGAAGTCACAGTCTAGTCCTGCAGACAGTTAGTAACCACAGGACAGCAGTGTGTGGGCACTACCATGTAGGGCAGCACGGGCTCGCCCGGAAACAGGGCACCCTGAGTCCTCGGGGGTCTGTGTGCACCAGCCAGGTGGAGGAAAAAAGGCATTTTATGCCACAGAAACCCCATGTGCAGGGAGTGAAAGTAAGAAAGGGTGTACTAGTCAGGGAGTGAGAGGAAACCGCTGAAAAGTTACGAGGCAGCTGAGGTAAGAGGAGCAGAGCCTAGAGGGGGAGCAACGCCATCGGGCGCGGGGGGTGTGCAGCCAAATCACCGTCCTTGATGCCTAATCAGCTTGTAGGGGCCAGTGAGCCACGAATGGGAGGAGGGTCTGTGGTGACACCCAGGATCTGCGATTGAACGATTGTGTAGGTGAGATACAGGAGGGAAAGCAGGTTGGAAGGAAGGAGAGACTATTTGTTTAATTTGAAAGTCCCCTGTGGATGGCATTGGAGGGACATGCAGGAGGACCAGGAAGCAGCTGGATAGGAGGGTTTCCAAAATGGCCAGCGCTGGCCACCACCTCCCAGAGAGCCCTGCAGGTGAGAGGCAGTGGACACCTGGTGGCTTGGCTGCAAGACTCCAAGGAGACCGAACGTTCACCTCAACCACCATCCTTTGCCTCAGCCACCATCCCTTGCCTGCCAGGAAAAAGGCACCAACCCTCTGTCACCAGGGACCACTCTGGGGGCAAAGTCTAGTCCAGCTGTGGTCTAAAAACAAAGCCTTCTGAAGTTGCCAGGCTTGGGGCAGGCGGATGAACTTGGCCGCCTCAGCGGGACAGTATCCCAGTTGCTGGTCCCCTCGAGGCCAGAACGAATGCAGGCCCTTCCTTGGTGCACACGCCTGCTTCCCGTGACCTGACAGTCCCTTTCCTTTCTCTGCCCCCGGGTTCCTCGTCAGCTCCCTTTGCATCCTCACCGCCCTCCTGTCTGATCTCCGGGTGTATCTGAGGAGCCTCTGAATGCAGGTAGGTCCCACCCACCCCTGCAGATTGATTCAGTTAGACCTGAGGCAGAGCTCAAGAATCCCTACTTTTGTCACATAGGAACTCCTGGGTGACCCAGGTGACCAGTCAGACTTCAAACCCTGCACTGGGAATCCTCCACCCTTCTTCCCAGGCTCTCCCTCTGCAGGCATCTTATTTGGGGAGTCAAAGTCTGAGAAAAGGAAAAACGTTTATTTTCGGCAAGTCCAAGGTCCCAAGTGGGGACAGGGCCCAAGTTCCCCCTTCCACCTGAGGGCCGAAGCCCATAAGCTTCTCTGGTTCAGGCTTGGGAGGAGAGGAGCCACGCATGGGGTGGGACAGTCACTTGTACTGAGGGGAGAGCGGGGGCACAAGCGGGGCAGCACAGACACTTAGCATCTTGTTGATGTCCACTTGAGTTGACTTATCCATCTCAGTCTTGAGCAAGCCGCTGACCCCCAAGCTGGGCAAACCCCCAGGCTCCTCTCCAGCCTCTTCTCCAAGGGGAATCAGAGCGTGGGTGGGAGACATGAGCATCTTGGGGCGGGGCAGAGTGAGCCCTGAGCCCGGCTCACCTGCCACAGGCGGCAAAGCTGGCAGCTGCTCCAGACCGGCCTCTTCGGGGACCAGGGTCAGCTCCGGCTGAGGTTCCACCTCGACCTCAGCCTCCCTATCCCCTTCCCTTGCCTCGTTCAGCTCAGGGTTGCAATAGTTGATGTACTGGTACAGGGGCCGTAGGCGCTGGGCCTTTCCTGCAAGGGCACGGGGCAGAGAAAGGGCTGGAGTGCCAAGCTGTGCCACGTCAGGGGTCCAGCAGGTGGGGGGGCGGGGGCGGGAGAATGGAAGGCCCAGGGATTACCACTCACGCTCCAGCCCCAAGGTCTCCGACGATGCAGACGTTGTGTTGGCCACAGCTGGGAGCACTGGGGCCCCCAGGCTCTTGCGTTTCTTGGCTTTTTTGTGCTGTTTGGCAGATGGTGAGGGCTCGCTCTGGCTACCCTCCAGGTCCTCCCTCTGCAATGGCAGCCCCTGGGACAGCTCAGCTTCAGCCTTAGGATGGTGGGCTTGGTGACTAGGCCCTGGGGAGCTGGGGGACAGGAGGCCTGAAGAGGCAGCCTTGTCTCCTGTATGCTGAGCCTAGAGAATGGCCCACATGCCCACCACCCCAGGCCCAATTCTTGTCAGTGAGGCCCCCAGGCTGGACAAGTCTTAAAGCTCATGGGAGCTCAGTCCCCGACAAGGTCTTGAGGCTCTCTTAAGGACAGAAGGGATGCGGAGTGGTGGTGATGATGGCAGGGGCTAAGGACACACCCTACAGGCATGCAGGAGTTCAGAATCCTGTTGGGGTGTGACACCTCCCCCCCATCCCTGGCAGCCCTGCTGCCCCTTTCCTCAGAAAGCCCCCTCACTTGACAGGTTTTCTCTTGGGACCATGGCTGGACCTCACAACGGAAGCCACAGGTCTGGGGCCTCTCTCCTCTAGCGCCTCCACCTCTGGCTTGAGACTCTCTTCTTCCAGCTTGAGTCGCTCCTCCTGGAGCTCTGGCTCTGAGACGGGTGCTGTTGGACACTTGTCCTCACCCTGGGTCCCACAGGCCTCAGGGGCTGACACCAGGCCCTGGTTTCTCATTCCTGGACACTAGAGGTGACACATAGGTCGTCATAGCCAGGCAGAAGCTATGGGATTAATCATTTAGACACTCGACATTAGACACCAAATGCAGATGAAGGGCACCAGCCCAGGCTCCTGCCCCACTGCCGAGCCCGTCTTGGCAGTTAGGGGGTCAACGCACAGAGTTTGGCCTTCGAAAGCGCCGAGGCCACGAGTTTAAAGACTAAATAGCCCTGGTAGTCACCTCACAGCCCTGAGCGTGATCACCGGGTGCCTCCGTGAACTGTGCAGCCCCCTCGGCCGTCCCCTCTTGGGCTCCAGGTTGCTTCTCAGTTCCTGCTGAGTCCATGGCTGCGCGGTGTCAGCACATCCTCGACAGTTGCTGGGGGACTGGGGTGGGGGAAGGCTAAGGCGATCCCAAGGGGCGGAACGTGTACCCGGGAGAGACTGATGGGTAGGCAAGAGCCAGGATGGGATGAGCGGCCGGCAACCGCTCAGATCCACCCTCATCTAGAACTACAAGCCCCAGAAAGCTTTGCGCCAAGGGTTTTGGCCCCTGAACTCAGAGACGGAAACTATTGTTGCTTGGCAACAGCAAAACCCGTCGGGTAGCAGCTGCAAGCTGCAAAACCTTGCTCTGGTGAGCCCCTTGCCCGGTTGTTGAGGGGGAGGGGCTTCGAACAGTCCGAGAAGTGGGCTAGGAGTGGAGGCGGCTAGTGCAAGCCCGGGAAGGGAATGGAGGGTACAGGCGGCCGGAGTCAAGGTCTGGTCCAGAGAGTAGGCACAAGGCTGAGGAAGGAGGTCCAGGGCTCCAGATAAGCAACCTGGCAGGCCTCGGTGCACCGTTACAGGGCGACGGCAGCGGCATGTGCGAGGGCCCGTCCCGCATTTCGGGGCCCATCCCCCCAGACCCTACGCTCTGTCCTGACTACTACCGGAGGCCCGCCTCGGGTGAGTTGGGGGGTGCCACGGCCCAGCGAGGCCAGAGTGAAGCTCGGGTTCCACTCCACTGACCCCCGCACTCCGCCCGGTCCAACCCCTCAGCCCAAGGGCGCCTTGAGGGGAACGCGCTGAAGCTGGACTTGCTGACCTCGGACCCAGACTTGGACGCCACCCCTCCCCGCGGCCCCCGCATACGTCCTGGAGCCAGACAGATCCTAGAACGTGGTCGATGTGGTGTGGGGGGCGTGCTGCTGCAACTTGGGGATATCTCCCTAGGCCCAGGGGCCTCTCCCAAAAGTAAGTTCCAGGCAGGAGGGGCAGGGAAGCAAATCTGAGATCAAAAGTTGAGATCAAAAACTGCTGCTCCTCCCGCCCTGGGCTGGGCTCGGGCTTTGCTGAGTGTCACTTTCCCGAACTATAAAAGGGGGGTGAGGGGGAAGCACTACCTTCCAGCAGAAGAGGACTGAATGAGGTCGTCCCCAGGAAACCCTAGCTCATCCTCATGAATTCGTGCCTCAATGAAACGGGTTCTTTAGTGCCTGTTGTGTGCCAGACCCAATACGTACTATGAAAACAGGTCAGGTTGAAGACAGGCGTGAGCCATCACTGAGTCAATGTGGAAGACAATAACAAGTGAGATGAATATTATATACAAGATGATTAATGATAAACTCCACAATACAAATGTAGAAAATATCAGAGATAGAAGATAATTGTCATGCCGGGAAGGTGACGGGGACGGTGAGGTGGAGAATCTGTACGGGGTCTCGGTCAGCGAGGTCGGGCCTGTATGTGACCTGGTGGGGGTTGGACTTCATGGGCTGGGCCTGGCAACATCTTTTCCCCAGGGAAGGACCCTAAGGACCATGAGAAGGAGAACCTGAGGAGGATCAAGGAGATCCAGAAGCGCTTCCGTGAGCAGGAGCGCAGCCGGGAACAGGGCCAGCCCAGGCCCCTGAAGGCTCTGTGGCGCTCGCCCAAATACGACAAAGTTCAGTCCCGGGTCAAGGCCCAGCTGCAGGTACCTGCCTGCCTCAGGGGCCCGGAAGTATTGGCCGTCTTATCTACCAGGAGGCGAATTATACCCTGACCTGAATTATGAGGAGAGAGGGAAATCACGGGGGACTAAGGCAACAGGAGAGTTAGAGAGAGCTCGTTCTGCCACAGGGGCTTCTCAGAAGTGGTGGCAGCTGGGTGATCCTGAGGGGCGAGTAGGAATCAGGCAAGGGGAGAATGGGAGAGAACATTGTATGCAGACGAAACCTCACAGACAGAAATCCTAAGATCGGAGGGAGTGTGGGCAGTGGGGATGCTGTGTACAGTTTACTGTGAGGGGTGAGAGCATGCAGTTAGGCTAAGAAGTCAGTGGGACCCGTATCATAAAGGACCACATAACCCACTTTTCAACCTTTACTTCTAAGGACAGTGGGAAGGCCAGGGACAGGGGTATGTATGGTGGTGGGATTCTGTCTTGACTAGATGGTGGCACCGTTTCTCTATCAAAGGGTCTCAGAAGGAAGAGCAGGGTTGAGAGAAAAGACAGTAAGTTCATATGTGGATGTGTTAAAACTGAAGCATTTGTGGGACTACCAGGAGATGGGAGTGTGTCCAGGAAGCAAACTGAGAGTTGGGTCTGGATCTGAGGAGTGAGACCTAGGAGTTATTGAGGATCAGGCTGAGGATAATGAGACCAGGGAAGTGATCCTGGGTTTAAGGGCTTGAGGCCAGCTGTCAGTAACCCTGAGAGGGGCAGATCCAGGAAGTTTGGCTAGGAAGGAGAGAAAAAGAGAACGGTAACTAGATCCAAGACCTAGGTAGAAGCACTGGTTGGTCGTTAAGGATACAAGAGACACATGTGTTCAGATGCTGATGAGAAGTGCTCCTTCAAGAGGGCGGAGGTGCATAGGGCTAGGGAGGAACAGGTCTTAAGACCTTGACCACAGCCTGACTGATCCCTCTTCTATGCCCTGCCCTTCAGGAGCCTGGTCCTGCCTCTGGGACAGAGACGGCACACTTCCTGCGGGCACACTCTCGCTGCGGCCCTGGCCTCCCACCTCCCCGTGTCCCCAGTCCCCAGCCAACCCCGTCAGATCCCAACGCCAAGGTGCAAGTATGTGTAGGCTGGGAGGTGGGGCAAGGATCCTGGGGGTTTGGGGGCACAACGCAGTGCTGTCTGCCCACCACACTTGCCATGTCCTGTAGGTGCCAGGCCTGGGTGTGGACTTCATTAGCCACAATGCCCGCACTGCCAAGAGGGCCCCCCGGCGGCATTCCCGCTCGCTGCAGATCCTGGCACAGGTGCTGGAGCAGCAACGACAAGCCCAGGAGCACTACAACGCCACACAGAAGGGCCACGTGCCTCATTAGTAGGTCCCACTACCCAGGGTGACAGGTGCGTGTGGTAGGTGGGAGCCAACATCTGTCCTGGGATCATCAACCCTGAGCCTGTACATCCACAGCTTGTTGGAGCGTAGGGATCTGTGGCGACAGGAGGCTGAAGCCCACCTACGGAGCCAGCCGGACCCCGCCATGCCCCCTGGCCACACTCGCATGCCTGAGAACCAGCGACTGGAGACCCTGAGCAATCTACTCCAGAGTGAGTATGTGGGCAAGGGGGACTGGATGGGGAACCCACTGGGGACCATGCACCCCTGCCTTACACTAACTGTTCCTGGGCCCCCTGTAGGCCAGAGCCAGCTGCTGCGTGAGCTGGTGCTACTGCCCGCCAGGGCAGATTCGCTGAGGGCCCAGAGTCACCGTGCTGAGCTGGATCGGAAGCTGGTGCAGGTAGAGGAGGCCATCAAGATCTTTTCCCGCCCCAAGGTCTTCATAAAGATGGATGCTTGAGCCTGTTTATAGGGGTAGTGATGGGGGTCCTGGTTGAGGACTGCTTCATGAATGCAAAGGACAGGACCAGGCCGCATCACAGAGTCCAAAGACAGGAGCAGTTGGTGGTAGTGTCCCCGGAGCACTTTTCCTAGCCACCGGTAGCTGGAGAGGGGCCATCCTAGCCCAGCCTCTTTATCCCTTTGTCAAAATTAAACTTTTTGTACACAGAGGGGTTTCTTTCCATAGAGCTTTTCTTACACTAGAAATTCCAAGCCTGGTGGCCCTCCGGCTGTTCAACTGCAGGAAAGTCTCTGCTGCCCTCGTTGCCTCTGCCTCACGTGCAGGGCAGAAGGCAAGACTGTGGGATCAGGGAAGAAGCTGGGACTGGGACACAGAAGGACCATAACCACATTTGTAGAAAACCTTTAATGCTCCCCAGACTGAGAGGGCCCTGTGAGCAAGCTAAAACCCCACTGGGGAAGTCCTCTGGAGTGGCAAGGGGCTGCTTCCATGCGTGTCAGAGGCTGAAGCCACTACCATCTCCTCGTGTGCTACTTCCCCAGCCAGAGCTGGCTTGCTCCTGATCATCTAGGGATGGCAGAGAGCCGCAGGCACTGGGAAGTAGGCGATCTGCGGGCAGGTCCCAGCATGGAGGCCCCCGAGACAGCCCATTGGGACAGGGAGGCTGGCGGTTCCCAATGGACAGATCACTACTGTCATCATCACTGTCAGGCTCGGCAGCCCCAAGCCCAGCAGAGGAAGGCCCTCTCAGATGACCAGATGCCCCGCGCACCACATTATTGCGCTGATTGGCTGGCTTGACAGTGACAATGAGGTTGTGGCTGTTGGCGACCATCATGTCTGTCACTTGGTCCAAGGTCTTCCCAGCCACCTCAATGCCATTGACTTCAAGGATTTCATCACTGACTGCCAGTAGCCCTGTACTCTCAGCCAGGCCCCCTCGTACTAGGCGAGAGATGAAGATGCCTGGGACCCGTTCCAGGCCCTGGGGAGCGACACGCACGCTCATGCCATCTCGGATGTAGAAACCTAGGGGACGGTCGGAACCATGCTTGTGCAGCCGCACCCGTCGGTGGGTTTCAGGCAGTAGATCCACATCTATGACTGAAGAAACCTGGCGGAAGTCTTGGGGCAGGCTGATTAGGAGGGGTGGCCGGGTTCGCAGAGGTGCCACTGGCCGAAGTAGAAGACCTTTCTTACGCCGCTGCAGTGAGTTGGAGGCAAAGACCAGGCTGCTGGAGTCAGCTTCTGTTGTAGGAGAGAGAGACGCTGAGATCAGAGACCTTTCTCTCCCATTTGCCCTTTTCCATCAGGACCAGGCTGGGGGAAGCGGACACTGTAGCTATTTTCTACCACTTGGAGGTCAGGCCAAGGGCAGGGTATGCAAAGGGTGAAGCCTGGGTATCCTGGGCATGACAGACCTGCCCTGTCACCCTACCCCACAGAGGCTGCCCACTGTACCCCATTCTCACCCCGCTTCTGCACTAGCAGGCGCAGTGGCGGGGGCACGCTGGCCAGGGCCCTGTGTAGGCTGTCATCGTTGGTAAGGGGCAGTAGGTCGCCGTGAGCATCTGTATAGCCAAGCAGCACATCCAGGCCAGGGATCTGATGCACTGCACGCAGTAATCTCGAGAACTCTTGGAAGCCGCTCACCGAAGCACGGGGCAGTGCGAAGCGTCGGAACTCGGCGTCAAACTGGAGGCAGGGAGTGGGGGAAAGAGAAGGGGTCAGGACAGAGCCTGAGTCCTTTTCCACCACAGGTCCGAGGGTGGCAGGGGTGGGAAAGCGGCTGCCGCAACAGCTGCCGACTTGAGCCCAGACCTCAGCCCACCGCCCCCTACCGCCACCGCCCCCCCCCCCTGCACAGGGGGCGCTGTCCAAGGTCTCCCCGCCCTCCAGGTAACCCAGGCCACGGAGCGATTCTAGAGGCTGGGGGAAGGAAAAAGGCTGGGTGCGGGGAAATGAGAAGAAAGGCCAAAGAATGGGACATGGAGGATAGAGAAAAGAAAAAAGTGGGACTAAGGAGCCAGGAAGAGGAGAATGAGGGAATGGAAGCACCTAGTACCGGAGCCGGGACTGGAGGGGCCCTTACTTTGCTCTTCACCTCCACGATGCTGTCGGGACTGCGCGCCGGCGTTCTCTGTGGCCTGGCCATTGCGGGGCCGAGCGGGCCGCGGACAGTGCCCCGGGCGGCCCGCGGAGGCGCAGGTGCATAGCCCGGCCGCCTGGCCGGCCCGCACCACCCCGCCCCTGGCGGTAGCCCTGGCCGGGTCCTCTCATCCAGACCATGACGTCAAGGGGCCAACTACGGAGAGTGGCACGCGGAGTCCACGTTTCCTAGGAAACGGTGATGGGGATGGAGACGTCTTCGTGTGCTCTTACGTCATTACGCTACGGTCAGCGTGTTCCTGTAGCCTGGGGGAGGGGCTCGGCCAATCCGAGGGCAGAGTGATGGGAAGTATTTATTGAATGCTATCTACTATTTCTCCTAGCCTTACAGGACTGCGCACTTTGTAGACGAGAAAAACGAGTTATAATAGTTGTTGAATCCTTCGGGGTCGCACGGCGTTGAAGTGGCCTTGAGTCAATTCGCTCGGACTACCCTAGGCCGCAGCCTCAGGCTCCAAATTCCTCCCTCTCCATCTGCGCCAGCCCTTGGCCCCTTCCTGTCTGGTGCCCAGGTATCTTTGATGAACGTCCAAAAGAGGCGCCGCTGTTTGGAGAGCTAAGAACAAGTAAGCCAGCATCCAGCTCAACCAACAGGAGGCTGCACACAAGTTACCAATCAGTACGCGCTCGCGAGCACGCGCCGGGACACACGGGGGCGGAGACTCGCCCTCAGGTCCCGCCCAGCAGTTATGCGCTTCCTCTTCCGACAACAGGCGGAGCCGCAGCGCCAGCGGGAAACCCGGGCGAGAGGTGTTCCTCTAAACTCAGCTGCGGGAATGGCAGGCTTGAGAAGCGTGGTCCTTCGGCCCTGGATTCGAGATCTGGTGCTGGGGTCAGAGAGACTCTCAAGTCCACGGGTGGGGCAGCTGCTCCAGGTGGGTACTGCCCACCCCCTCAGGGCCCGGAGACCAGGGTGGGACCCCAGGGTGGTGGGATTGAGGTCGCTGTCCTCAGGTGCTGCAGGAGGCCACAGCCCCTGGCCCGTCCCGTGCCCCTGACACCTCTGATGTTGGGGCCTTGCTGCTTGTGTCCGACGGGACCCACAGTGTCCGATGCCTGATGACGCAGGAAGTCCTGAACGCCTCGGACTGGTGAGAAAGGTGCCGCGGGGCGGTAGGCGATCTGAAGCCGGCCGGGAGCTCGAGGCTTGAGCCTGACGTGGGCGGGGCCCCAAGCGGGCGGGGCCGAGTTCCCGAGGTCTAGGCTGTCAGTTTCGTGCTCTCCGCAGGGAAGAGAAGGAATTTGGTTTCCGAGAGGCTGAAGGCCGACTGCTGCTGCTGCGAGACTGCGAGGTCCGAATCCAAGTGGCCGAGGGTGGCACGGTGAGTGGTCAGGCTGGCTTGGACGGGGTACTGGGCCTGAGTCTTTGTGAGAACCCCTGAGACCCAACCCTGAACTCACCCCTCCAGCCCACAGAGTTCTACCTCCAGGTGCATCGCTTCAGCCTAATGCCCACAGAGCAGCCCCGGGATTGGGTGACTAGTTGGTAAGTGATACCTCCACTCTCCAGCTGTTCTCTCCACCTGGGCCTGGCTGACATTGGCATAGGCCTTTTGGATGGGAGGGCTTGGACCCCAAGTAACATTGCGGGCTTATCACCATCTTTGTCCTAGCAACCAGGATCCAGATGTGCAGAGAAAGCTCAAAGACTGCCTGGAGTGAGTCTGGGGTTGGGCTCCCACCAGGTGTGCCTGGATCAGAGGTGGCAAATGCATTGACAGGCCTCAGGATTGTCCCTGAGGCCTGTCCCTTCTGTTTCCATAGGGAGCACCTTTCAGAGTCCACCTCCTCCAATGCAGGTACTTGTAGGGTTGACCCTAACTCTCTGTAGCCACCACCACCTATAGATGACTCTCCAGCTGTCACCTTCTGCTCCTTTAACAAGCCCCCTTCCCCACCCACCCTACCCTTCCTCCTCCTTGAGCTCCAGCCCGGCCTCTGCCCCTCTGACCCCAGGCCTTTCACTGTCCCAACTTCTGGATGAGGTGCAGGAGGAACAGGAGCATCAAGAGGCACTAGTGCGCCTGGCCGAGAGCTGTCTGATGCTGTCAGGCCCTTGCACAATGCCCCCACTCACCCGCTGGGCTGCCTCCAGCCACTTGGCCATGGTCAGTTTGGGGCTGCCCTTGGGAAATGTCAGGGCGAGGAGTTGGGCAAGGGCCAGGCTCACAGTTCACTTCCACAGGGAGAAGCTGTATACACTGTCCCCAGCCAATGGCTGCACATCTCTGAGAGTGACCAACGAATTCTGAACTCTCTAGGCCCAGGTCAGAGGACACAGAGTAAGGAGGACTGAAGAGCTGCAGAGGGGAATATCTGGGGGCCTGGTGCCTACAGTGCTAATAACCCTTTTCTGACCCCCAGGCCCTGAGCTGTCCCCACCAGACCTGGTCCTTCAGGACCTGTCGCTGACCCTGACCTCATCATCTTCCTCACTCAGTTCCTCAGGTACGGTGTTGCTAAAGCCACACTCACCCACTGCCCAGGTCATGCAGGATGCTATGAGAGGGACCAGCGTGGTCCCTGCAGGCCTGCCTAAGGTCACAGGCCACTCAGCTAGTCTGAACTGAGAGGGCTGTGCCCACAGTGAGTCCCCTCCTCCCCAGGAACCCCTGCCTTACCCAACCACGTGTCGTCAGAGGAAAGTGGTGCCAGTGTCAGCCTTATTCCTGCTCTGTCTTTGGCTGCTCCAGAAACAGGGCAGAAGGCCAGCTCCCAGCCCCCTCCAGCCATCTGCTCAGCCCCTCGCCCCCAACCCCCTAGTTCCCCACACCCAAGCCACGTATCCAACTCCCCACTCCTGAGTTGTACCGCAAGTCTGTCGCATCTTGGTCACACCCCCAGTCCACATGACCAGGCCCCATCCCGTGTGACCAGGCCCCAGAAGTCTAAACTAGAGTTCAAGGAGCTAGGGTTGCCTCCCAAGGACCAGCAGCATTCTCCAGGGAAAAGCACCACCGAGGGAGTCCTGGAGTCCAGTCCTGTCTGGGTGAGCATAGCCCTGTACAACTGGAGGGTAGGACAAGGTGGGCCTCGGACAGAGCTGGGAGGGGGGCTGGGGTAGGCTTGGAGGGGGTTAGGGGTCCTTGTTGGCCCCTCTGCAAATACTGCATCCTCTCCAGGGTCCCCCAAAGAAGCATCGAGATGGCTCCGCCTTCCAGTATGAATACGGCCCGCCCTGCACTTCCCTCTGTGCCCAGGTCCAGGCTGCCAGGTGAGTGCCTGGGGCAGCCCCGCTCTCTTGGTCACTAGTCCCAGTCTTCCTCGACCTACAGCTCTGGTTCTCTTCCCAGGCTCCCTTCGCAGTTCCTGGCCTGGGCCTTGCACTTTCTGATGGAGCCGCAGCCGGAATCCGAGCACACCCAGGTGTGAGGGACCACGTGGGAGATTGTGGTCCGTGCCCGGGGATGGACAAACAGCACTTCACACTCTGCTTCCTTGACTTTTTTAATAAAATAATCTCATGCGGCAAGAAAGGAGAAGGTCAGGGGTTGGGGCCGCCTCTTTGGTCTGTGACTGGGGAGGGTGGGCTCTGCACTGGGCTGGTGGGCTCTGTGTACTGTGGGAGCGGGGGCTCGGCTCCGGGGCCAGGTCCTGCGGGAGGAGAGGGAGAGAGAGGAAGGTCGGAACTGGGCTGACTGGTGCCGCGCCCACACAGCCGGCCCAGCCCCCTCTTACCTAGGCTTGGCGATGGGGGTGCCTCAAGCTTTGGCCTTCTCTTGAGGACGGGGGAGCGCTGCAGCCGTAAGGGCCGTTCTGGGGACACAGAGAGGCATGGGGTGGGTCATTAAGGTCTTGTCGCCGGTTCCCAACCCTGTCCCCAGTGTGTGTTGGCGCACACATGCACATTCGCATGCACACATTGACACACCGTGCATGCTTTCAGAGCCTCCCCCTTCCCACCCTGGGTCCTCCCACCCCAGCAGAGGTCGCTCTTCCGGCGCTGGAACTGGGCTGGTCAGAAGGGCTGTCGGACCCTTGCTCCTGGCTCCCCGGTGTCTCACCTCTCGCACTACCAGCAGCCCCTCCAAGGTCCAGATTCATGAAAGGAGACTTGGAGTCCCCCTTCCCCTCCCCCCGCACTCAAGCAAGCGTGGCAGTGCCTCCCCTCACCGACAGGGGCCCGGAGCTGGTCCTCGTGCACAGACGCTGCCCGTCGGCCTGGTGAGAGAGGCCTCGGCCTCAGCCGGCCATCTGGGGGAGGCCGTGGTATCAGGGTATGGTCCCTACTCCAGCCCTTGCCTCCCACCTTCAGGGTCCCCAGCCCGTATTGGGGTGGGGGCTAGGCTGCCCATTTACCTTCATTTCTGGGGCCCAGGCAAGGATCCTCTGGGAGGCCCAGACTGTCTGGGGATGGGCTGGCTTTTCGGGGGCTGGGACAAGGGGAAGGAGGTCCCGGACCATCCTGTTGGCCCCAACCACGGCTCCTGAGCTCTGCGTTCAGCTGCTGCCCCAGCGTCTTCCAGGTGGAGGACTCGGGCCCCTGGCCCCCTGACCCAGGCCTGCATGAGGGGTCTGTAAGGAGAAGGGTGTCAGCCAATACCGGGGCCAGGCATCGGGAGTGAGCTTGACCTGCGTGGCCCCCGACACCACGGTGGCCCCCACTCACCTGCAGACACAGAGTGGGTGCGGGACTTGATGGAGATGGGAGGGGTCTCCGAGGAACTGTCCATAATGTCACCTGCAAGTGGGACTCGGGGCTCAGGCACCAGGCCGTGGGGGTGAGGGGAAGAAAGACCTGGCTTCCCCCCTCATCCCCCAGGACAGCAAGTGCCTTGGGGACTTATCACGGAGATCATCCCCTGCCCCCTCTCCGCCAAAAAATGTACCTCCCTGGCCCAGGTTCCCACTTACCATCGGAGCCAGCCTTCTTGATCTCTCCATCTTTGCTCTGTGGGAAACAGGGAAGTGAAACTCAGCACCGAAGTGATTCTCAGCACTGAACCACCCTCGGCCCAGGCTCATTCTTTTGTTCTTGTCGCTGAATGGGCTGGGCAACAATGTGGCAAACCCAGTCCTGGCCTTAGAGCTCAGAGTCAGTCGGGGATGGTGGACAGTGAGCACAGACATCCGTATGCACGCAGAGA